CCTATTAACCAGAAAGAAGTGGTTGTCCTGGGGTGTTTGGACTCCAGCAAACCAAACTATTTCACTTTCTATCACTAAAAAATGATACACACTTTATTAAATCTAATTCTTCTTAATCTAAACCCTCAGTTTGAAAGTGTGATATTAGGAGGTAGGTCACAAGAACTCTGAAAAGACTATTCTGCATGCAGGTCAAGATCAGCAGCAATTGAAAGTAGCAGTCATGGAGTGCCAGTTATGAGCTATGTTTGAAGGCTACTGGATTATGTTCATTCCTCAGATCATGTTTTTTCCAGGCAAAATACTGTGATATATGCTGCAAAAGGTGTAAAGTTATAGTAATCAAAATAAACACAAAGAGATACGACCTATTTCTAAAATATTCATTTTCCTCCTACGAGTGACATAACAGGAAAGATTGGGGCAAAATATTTCTTTTGATAGGAAATAGTCTGTACAAAATTCTCTCTCCCCTAGAGGCTGGCAGACATGCAGGGTTTCTTTTGTGCATTTGTCAATATTGCAAAACTATTTCAGAAGTTGGGAAAGAAAAATAAAACATCTCAGTGGTTGAGTGTTGGAGTACTTTTGTTTAAAAGTTGTTGCAACTTCCACTCTATCAGAGTGTTCACATTTCAAAAGCTCTTTCCTATCAGATATGAGTGCTAGTGCTTACATTAGAATTCAAACATTTGTGAGTTGGAGGTGACTTTGCATAGCAAAAGTCTAAATTCTCTGGCACTGCTGGCCAGGAATTAGTAATGATTACACCAGTTTTAAATAACTTCCACGTGTATGAAAGTTTCTGGTCATGACAAGCCCTTTACACCTTCTGTTCTTTGACACAGTCCTAACATGCTAAAAAGAAGGCTGATACAGTCCTAACATGCCAAAAAACAAAACTTAGGTAATGGTTGTCTGTTGGTTTTGGTGATTTATTTGGTTGGTTTGAAGTTTGTTGTTTTTGGGGGTTTTTTTTCCCAATTGCACTCTCCCTGCTACTTTTGAAGCCATTGTCTGATTTTGATCTTATATTACATGACAGCATGAGTATTAAAGATACCAAGTTTCTTCATGTCTTGTGAAACAGCATTTGGAATAAAACCTAGTAATGTCCCAGAGGGGAATATGCATTCACTTAGTTTTTGTCCAAGGCCCAGTGTCTTGGTTTGAAAAGATAGGTGTCTGCTAAGGAAGGCAGGAGGCTCTCTTGAAATGGAAAATGTAAACACCCTCCCTCTGAATTATTACAATTTTGAAATTAAGGGACTCTCAGGCAAAGATGTGGGAATAGGAATAACAGTTCTCTACTAGGAAAATTAAAACAAAAATGCAGTAATACAAAAAAACTGACAGAGTCAGAATACCACCTGACACCCTGTTAGTCAGGGTGTTGGTAGCAGTCCCATTAAATGGTGGCTGCAGTCCTCCTGCAGTGAAGGTGTGGTTCTGTTGAAACAGGGATCCTGTAGAAGGCTAGAGTTTTCCTCTGGAGGTCCAGTGCTGGTGTAGATGGGCCTGGTCTTCCTCTGGGAATCCAATGGATAAATGCTCTCCTGGTGTTCCAAATCTCAGATTATATCCAGGTAGGAACACTTGGCTCCTCCCCCTGGGTGGAGCATCTCACAATGGGATGATGTAATTTTATCAGTCATGCTGTGAGACTCAATGGACCACTGACAGAAGGTGTCTCCCTGGGCTGAGGATGGGATAAACTACACATGTAGTTAAGACTTAACTGCAGTCCAGCCTCTTGCCCATCCAGAACAGGTAGGGGAGGACTAAACAAAGGAAGGCTTATGGTTGTGAAAGGAGGCGATTCATGGCTTTCAGTGGCTAGAAAACAAATTTGGAGGAAATCTGGCTTCATGACTTCTGTAGTTCTTCGAAAAATTTATTCAAACTTGTGATCTTCAGTGCTTGGAAAGACTGCAGTGTTCTGGCTTTGTATAACACAGAGGTGTTAATGCTGATACACTGCTAATGACACAAAAGCAGAGCATACGCTCATGAAAAGCTCCTTCCCTTAAACACAGAAGTATATAAGTTCCAGATTTCATCTGTGAGACACAGAGTTGTGCAAATGCAATGGGAAATCATGGAAATCATCACCTTCATAGGAAGAGGATTTTGTTGAAGGGACAGCTAGCTGTTCCATTATTATTATACTAGAAATATATTAGAGGATCCTGATATTTGACTGCTTAGGTGAAAGTAGCAAACATCTCCAGTATCAATATGTTACACTAGAGTATTAAATTGTACAGAACTGTGGTTTTGACTACTCAAACTTAAATATCTAGTTTTCGGGGCCTTTTTCATAAAGTAAATAGTTGCCAATTAAATAAAAATTTGTTACTCCTGATGAACAGGAATACTGCTGCACAGGCAAAGCCATATATGCAGAGGTTCACAGCACAGTTTAAAGAGCCTTCTTTCTCAAAAGCAAGACAACCCTCATAGGAAGGACACTGAAGCTAAATATGAAAAGATCAGAAGCAGTGACACTTTTAAAAAATTCTTTTAAATTTCTTCTTTTCTTGAGAGACCATGTGGGCAAATAGGTCTTCAATGCATACACCTCAAAGGGGTCAGGTTTTAAGATGCCACCCAAAAGATGGGAAATACTTAGTGAAAATCTGAATCACTTTAACTTGCTTTTAATCATGTACCCGTATGTAGTGTAAATATCAGTAAGGCAAGAATTCCAGAAACTTAGATATCTGTAGCTGTATCAAAGAATTCAAAACATAATCTATCCATTGAGCATGTTGAACTGTTGAATTTGGCCACAGTTGAAGGGTTTGTGCTCTCTAGGATATATTAAAAAATACCTATATGTTTTTTTAAGTATTTGGCAACAGCTGAAATCTTAGGAAATCATAAATCCTAGATAAACCGGGAGAAGTTTTTTTATTGTATGAATGCGATCCAATAGCCCCCCACTACTTTAAGTGTCCAGTGGGGCCCTGTAGAGATCACAGAACCACAGAATCTGCTGAGTTGGAAGTGACCTACCAGGATCATCGAGTCCCGCTCCTGGCCCAGCTCAGGACCATCCCCAAGAGGCACAGCATGTGCCTGAGAGAATTATCCAAATGCTTTCTTATCTCTGTCAGGCTTGATGACAGATAATAGAAGGAGGGAATAAAGTTCTGCAGCATTTCATTGTCTACAGTACTCCTCTAAAAGTTCAGTTAAACTTAGTTATGACAGTCCCCTTGTATCTGGACAGAAACATTTTAAAAGTTTTCTCTTTAAAGTGGAAATGCCAAGAATTGGGCACAGTAATAGCAGCCTGGAATGCAGCAGAACCTAACCTCTGCCTAACTAATCCTGCTCTTTTCTAACCTTGTCCTTCATGCTTATTCAAAGAACTGAAGTCACATGCTTCGAAGTCAAGCCTTTGCACGATCATGGCTTTTCCTGTGCACAGAACATGCCCTTCCTGCCCGGTGTGCCTGCACAAGGAGGTTATCTATAGAAGCCATTATTATCTCGGTTAACACCACTCCCTCCTGTCATTTAATATTTTAATGATGTCTTGCTCTATTATTTTTAATCTCATCTTGAGTTAAAGATCTAAAAATTAACAGAAAAGCAAGCAAATTTTCCAAAGAAAAGACATCTCAAAGTTTTTCAATATGCAGAATTGTGTTTAGAATTAATGAAATTTAGAAATCAAAGTACATAAATCAATGTATCATTGTTAGATCTTAGAGAGCTAAAGTGTACTGTGTTATAGTAAACTAAATAATTGTAATACTAGCTAGTACCTAACATGCTGATCTTCAGATCTCATTTACAGAGATGGTAGAATATTTGAAATGCTTTGGGGCAGACCACATAAGTAGGCAGACAACACTGAGTCCCTCACTGATGCCCTGCTGGCTTTGTTCCCACTGCCCTTGTGCTTCTAACATTAACTGTTATCCATCATTATTTTAAACACTTGGGTTCTGTCATTTATGTGACAGGTCTGTAAATGTTGACAATTCTTGGAATTTTAGAGCAAGTCTCAAATAATGAAATATTTCCAATATTAAAAACTCCAGCTGTTCCAATCAGATTCTTAGCTCACAGAAGTGATCCTCAATCCAAAACAGAGTACCAGTGTCTGTTAAAAAATGTCCAAGCAAAGAGACACTGGAAAGAGTATTAAATGATACTACAGCAGATGTCTTTTGGAAAGTCCAAGGATTCTCTATCTCATGAATGCAAACAAACTTTTAGGAGCAACTTGGGACTTTTTCAATACTAGTAATTCAATACTCAGCAAGAGTTGATATGGCACCTCATCCATTTTCCTGGCTGTTGTTTGCCTTGCTGTGAGGCTGTGCATGGGACTGAGCCAAACATGTTCTCTTGAGCTCATTTGGCTTTGCTGTAGGAGCAGAAGGGACATGACCATCCTAACAGAGCGCAGAAGAAATCAGGATACCTCAGACCGTCGTGCCTGATGGTTCGGTCTCGATGCCAGCACCGCAGCTGAAGGCGTAGGCAGTGAAATCGGGGAGAAGCAACTTGGGCAGGAGCTCGGCGTGAGGAGTTGCAGCACTTTGAGGATCAGTGTGGAAAGAGGAACTATGAGACACATCGTTGCTTGTTGCACAACTAAGGCTTGAGTAAAAGGTTTGGAGTCGCTGCCGTGATGAATACGGTCCCCACCTGGATTTTATTTCCTTGTTGCTCACAGGATTGCCCCCTTACCCTGCAGTTTATCTGTACAGCCAGCGTAGCTGTGCAATGGGATAACTTTACACGTCACTTACAAACAGCAGAAGTGCCGTTTCCTACCCCAGCTAGTGCTGCCGAGCTGCGCAGGGGTGCTGCAGCGAGCCCCCAGCAGTCCCGCTCCGCAGTCTCCCCATCCTCGGCCCGGGCTCCGGGGGAGCGCGCGGCGCGGCCCCGCCCGGCGCGCCTCGGAGGTGCGCGGGGTAGCGCCGCCGTGACGTCGCGACGCGGTTGCCATGGGGACGCCTGGGGTCGTACCTGACGGCTGTCGTGAAGCAGCGGGAGGAAAGCGAGGGAGGAAGAAGGGGGAGTCCAGGCCCAGCCCGGCCCCCGGCCCGCGGGGAGTTGGCTCCGCGCCGCGCCCCTCCGCCCTCGCCGCTTCGCAGTCGGAGTCGGGAGGCGGCGGAGGTGGCGGCGGCGCTGCCGCCTCTGGCTATGTAGGGGCCCCAGAGCGGGCAGATCCGGAGGCCGCTGTCCGCCTCTGGAGCTCGGCGCCGGGGCCGGGCCCGGGGCCGGGCCCGGCGGGATGTTTTCCAAGAAGCCGCACGGGGACGTGCGGAAATCCACGCAGAAGGTGCTGGACACCCGCAAGGACCCACTCACCCGACTCAAGCACCTCCGCGTCCTTATCGGTGAGGCGGCCGGGAGGGGGGAAGGGAGGGGTCAGCGGGGACTGCGGGTCCCGGCGTGGGAAAGACCGGGAATTTGGAGGGACCAGCCGGGCGCTGGGGCGGGAGGCGGACTCGGGGCTCAGCCCCGGCGAAGACCCCACCCGGCGAGCGGGGGAGCCCCCCGCCCGGCGGGGCGAGACCGCAGCGAGGTGCCGGGGGCTGCGGGACCCCGCGGGCGGGCGCGGGATGCTGCGCTCGGCGCTTTTGTACTGGGACACGGACGTGTCCGTCTGACGGTGGCATTGCTTTGGGAACTGTGGAAGGAGGCGAAAAAGTGGCGTTCTTCCCATGCGAATTATGCTCTAGCATACACAAAGTGCTAAGTTGCTGCGCATGAATAAAAGTGGCCGGCGAGCGCAAATGGTGCCTGTAACTCCTGAGTCAATTTCCCTTACGTTCTTACAGTAACAATTTATATTTGTGTACATTTTCAAGGTAAGAGCTACAGTAGTAAGTGCTCACTAGCGTAGATGTGAAGGAGCTTCTACACAGCCAGATTTAAAACACTTTTGATTTGCTAGTTGGTAAAGGAGGACACACAAGCCCTGAAGGGCTGCTGCAGTTCCATGTGAACTGCCATTTAACCTGACCAGTGAATTAGAAATTGTGATTATACGGCATAATTGCCTAATGAAAAAACCAGAGGAAACAAAAACAAACCTAGTTAACCATTCCAAGCTATCTGTTAGTTGCACTTGTTTGTAAAAATCTGTCATTGTCATCAAGCTATCCTTGAAAAAAGAAGCTTGGTCTGGAGTATCTTTTGGTGCTTCAGCCCTGTGAATGCGTGTGTTGCTTCTGACAGTTTATCAACACGTGAACAGGGCTGGGTCAAGGGCAACTGCATTCCGTGTTTAGCACAGAGTGCTGAATGGATTATTTTGGGTTCTGCCCACTGTCTGCTGGTATTTATGTATCTTGTCCTCCAAAGCTGGATTCTTTCTTTTCAAAGGAAAACGGCTATTGCTCCCTTGTTTTGTATTGGTGTTTAAAGGAACAGGTGTTCCCATATTGCACCATCTGCTGCTTCATGAGTTATTTTCTGCAACATAGTAATTATCTAGACTTGAAATGGAGAATAGTTGTGTAGCTATCTAAGCGACTTCAGAAGTCAGATGCATCCCGTTGCCTCACACAGAGCGTACCACTCTTCCTAACTAGCTGTACTGGGCCAGCTGTGGCTTGCTCTGTGTTGGTTTTTAGCTCAGTTGAAACATAAGAGGAAAAAACATTCTAAAGAAACTAAGTACCTCTCTGAATTCAGATTTCCTGGCTAAAGTATGTTGAGTATTTCTAGTTTTGCTTTTGTCTGCAAAACACTCTGAATGATTTTGATCTGATCTGTTCTAAATTTTCCATTTATGTTGCTTGCAATTGATTTACAACATTTTTTTCTTCAGCTTTCTTAATAATTGGATGACTTCTGTAAGTTGCAAGCCATAAGCTATGCCAAGCAGACATTCTTATCTAATCTAAGGTTTCTGTTTACTGGCTGTAGGACAGACTAAATTGGCTGGGGATGTTTTCATGTCCATCCTCCCCCCTCATTGTGTGTATCTCAGCTGTTGAAGCACAGCTCCCATGCATCCTTTCTCCACGTTTGGGAGAACACAACGTGTGAGTGACTGTGTAATTAGGGAAAGGCGTAACGATACTCTTCACCTTGTCTGTTTTGGATACATCCACAAGATTTTCTTGGGTGCAGATATTCTTAGGTGCATGAGATACAAAAACAAGGCCATTTGCTAGACCAGAAGAGGAAGGTATTTCCGTACATATTCCCACTGTAGAGCACGAGAAGTATACAGCAGATTATTTAAAGTCTGTCTTCTGGTGTGATCACTTCCTTGCCTTAATCCTTTCTCTGCTGCCTCAAGTGGCTTCCAAAACATAAAATGCCCTTTCTTCTGCAGTTTTTTCTCTGACTATTCTTCAGAACCAGATTTTAAAAAATTAAGGTGTCCATGCAAGGCAGACTGCTTCCTGTGGTGGCTTCTCATACAGGCACCATCCCACAGCTTGAGCAGTGAAGTGCTGCACATCATTTTGTCCTCAGTGATCATTCCCCCAGAATAATAATTGCCATGTTTCCCGTGTGTGCAGGGGAGCTGTGTTAGCTATTGCCAACAGACTCTCTGAGGGGATAGGGCAGGAAATCTCAGGTCAGCTGTGTTCAGCATCTTCCTGAAGGAAAAATGATTTATTTTGTTTATTGCTCTTAGCCTCTGCACACTGGAGACTGAAAGACTATCCGGAAGAGAATTTTCTGCAGTTTCACACCCAGGAAAAGAGAGAGAATTTTCTCTTGTTCTTTAATTTAGAATACTTTCAGTAGGCCTTCAAAGCATATTGGAGCAGAGTTTTCTTTTTTTTTTTTCTCTGTACATTTTAGTCTTTGGTCAACAACAATAAACAGAACAATAAACAGGTATGGCCTTGATTTCATGGTTAAGACTTGAGGGGAGGAAAGGGAGTTCATTTTCCTGCTATTTTACCAAGGCATCCAAAGCAGCAGTTTTCCAGTAAGCCAAAATAATAGAATAGTCATGAATTGAGGTGCCTGCTTGTGCTTGTGTGTATAGATTGCTGGCTGTCTACTAGTCAAAGAGAAATCTTAAAAATTTAATTATGGTACAAGATTGAGATTGCATCCTCCAAGGCAATAGTGTAAGTCAGGCACCATATAGTCTAAAAATATTTAAATTAGTATAATGCCACTTTTAGTAAGGATCAGAAGATACTGAACAATACAAAGCACGTGATGTGAAGCTAAATGGATTGATAGCACAAAGGCCTGTGATTTTTTAACAAATTAAGAGTAGTGTACATTAGATGGAATTTTTAAAACATCTTTTACAGAATAGCTTAGAGTGCAGTGATTTGTATTCTTTTAGGAAAATATCCTGTCATTGGTGACAACTCAGGTTAAATTTAGTAAAAATGCAAATGAGTCTGCATAAGGATATATAGAAAATTTTGTGTCTTTTGTGAAGCAGTGACACACCATTATATCAACTACCATTGCAGCTTTAGGAGTCTCATTGCTATAGTCAGTATATAGAAGATTTAGATATGGGATTAACTCAGATGAGAGTGAAACTTTAATATGAAAAGACACTGAAAGCTTTAAAATTCCTTTGTGTAGGGACAGAGGGTGAAAAGTACCTAAACATATATGAGAAAGTCTAGGAAATAACATCTGTTAAGGCTTACCAAATTTGAAGTTGCAATAAATTATTTTTGTCCTGGGAAGCTCTTGAATGCTAGGCTAGTGATCAGTTGTAGGAATGCTGTGGGGAAATGCATTTGTTGTGGTTTGGGTTTTGTTTTTGTTTTTTCTGTTTTATTTTTTCTTTCTGAAACGCTTTGGTAGATAACTGCTCTTTGCTCTTCAGTCCCATGTCATTCTCTGGGTCTCTGATCTGCTTCAGTTTGGCTCCATTCAGCCTTTTTTTTGTAATCGGGAACCGGAGAAAATTCTGTGAAATTCAGGTGACTAAATCAGAATAGAATAAATTATTTTTTTCATTCAATATATGACGCATTTATGCATGTCACAGGTATAAGGTTTTTTTAGTAGAAGTTAAAGCCTTTAGAAGACCTCTAAGAAATATTCTTCTTGCTTAAAAGTGCTAAGATTTGTAAAGATTGAAGTCTCATGTCTTGGGACTTAGCAGTGTATGAATAAAGGTAATCTACCTTTCATTGTTATCTTGCTGCAGTATATTTCTTGAAGCAAATGTAACTATCTGGTTTCATAGATTTTATTCTTTTGAGATGTATTCCTTTCTTCCCATAGGGAAGTGTTTACCCCTCCCTGCTCCATTTGGTTTTTTCTTCTCAGTTCTAGGAAGTGCCTGAGAGTCTCATACAGTTCCCTGGTGCTGATTTGGTCAATGTTAATGGTCAATGAGTTTTTAGCAAACTGCTCTGCTGTCTTGTCTTCCTGTATGCTGGAAATGCTGTGACAGCTGTGTTTACTATGTGTGACTGCAGTAGTTGGAGCATCTGAACCTTGACCGGGAATGTCAAACGGGATTCCCTTGGGTCGGTGTGGCAGCAGCGGGGCCTTGCTGGAAGGAAGGCTGCAGTGGTGCAGGTGTGATCACTGGGGCTTCTCTAGCTCATGGAAGGGAGGCACATTGTGTACCTTACAGAGTTAGGTGTTGCCTGTACAATGATTTCCAGAAAAAATATTTCTACATATATATATATGTGTGTGTATATATATATAAACAATCCCCAGTCAATTAGCAGCTAATTGCAATTTTTAGGGTCATTAAAGTGGAAATAATATTGCATTATTCTTATATATATGCTCTGTTTCATCAGACTTCAACATCAGACTAAAATTCTATGATTTTTAAATGGTAATTATAAAAATTTGTGCTAGTAATCTTTCAAACATCAGATCTGGGTTTATATGTCCTTTTGCTAAAACAGAGTTTTGAGCATTCTACAAATAATTAAGACAGCTAGGTATGTTACCCTTCATAAGGTCATACTTTAACAATATTGACTTTTCATTTTGGTATTCAATATGTTGGTGTTTGATTAACCCTGTTGAATTTGAAGATTCAGTCTGAACTTGGAAATGTATATATTTTTTTAAAGCTAAAATCTCTAAATATTTGATGATTTTTGTAACATCCTACTGTGTGCAAGTAAATCAAATAAATCTGTGGGTATAAAATTTTCTTATATGGCTGAGTTCTTAAGATACTTGCTTTCTTGTTGGATTGGTTTTTTTTCCTCTCTCCTTTTTCACTTTTTGTTTTGTAGAGTAGAAGATACAGGCTTGTAATCTGTTAATCCAGAGTAAAGAAAGAAGGAAATGCATAGTTTCTCATGAATTATTTTATTTGCATCTGATATCTCAAACTATACTTCTTTTATCTCTGGAACCATGGAGGGAATAATTGCAAAATGCGAGAAAACGGAGTAACTAAAGTGTAGGGAGT